TCTGCTCCCCGCCAAAACAAATAAATAAATAAAATCTTTAAAAAAAAAAAAGATTAGCGAGAGTACAAGGGAATCTGGTAGAAGGAGACCAACTTAGGGGCAAGAAAAGTCCCATAAGTTGCAGAATGAATTCCCCAAACCTTAAAAAAAAAAAAAAATCCCCAAATGTATTCTATAGGGAAAAAGAAGATTTTATTTTGAAAACAAAGTTTGGTTTTAAAAATAAAACATTTGCTGTTTCTCAAAAAAGTGCTGACATTTTGCCGATAAGGAGAATGAATTACTATCCTGCCTTCAGCTAGCCGTGTAAATAGGACCCGAAGAGTCCAGGGATTCCAAAAGCAGATACTCTCATTAGCAGGGTGCGCTTCCTTCTAGCTTGGTTGGATCCAGCACAGGTCCTCAGTGCGGGCTGTTAGAAATAGGCTTTTGGAGTCAAGTTCGCAAAAACACTTTTTTTTTTTTTTTTTTTTTAACTGCAGCACCCGTCTAGAAAGAAGCAGGAATCTGACCTGGGTGGGTGACAGGCAGGTCACACCGGGGAGGACTTGATAGCAGCAGGCCCTACCTAAAGCCTCAAAACAACGTTTCGAGCCCCGCTCTGAACAGACCATACACTGACATCAAATCTGCTCCTGAGACTCAGAGCCCTTGGGACAAACGCATTCACAGGACTCCAGGGAGACACACACAGTCCTCCTACCATTTTGGCTCTACCACTGGCTACTGACAATTGAATTTGTTTTGCTACTGTATTTTCTTTTTAAACGTCTCTTTTCAAGGCTCTTTTTTTCTTAAAAAATAAACTCTTTTTTTCTTTTCTCCCATTCCTAATGTATCACAGATCTCGGTTTTTATGACCAGGAAATCAGATTCTAAAGCCGAGAACGGGCACATAGGTTCCACATCTTGGGGAATGGCAGTGAAATGGGACAGGACTTCATGACCCAAGTGATTATATTCAGGAGTCAGAAGAACAACAAAGTTGGCCTTTGAGTTGCCTTATTTGGACACTAGTTTTCCATGTGTCACTCAGAGTTACTAACCAGGCATTTCAAGGGCAAGAAATTACTTCCCCCACACTACCTTTTTAGACAGTTCCAGGCAAGTAACGAAATAATAAGAAAGCTCTCTGGATGGGAAGGCCCAAGATGGACTTCTGGCCCTGGCTTGGCCCTTGGTGGACCGGGGAACCCGGAGCAGGACGCTTTCCCTCTCCACGGCCTTGGTCTCCTACCATTTAAAATGAGGGCGGTAGCCTCCATCATCCCAAGGCTGGTTCTACTTCTGAGGCTCTAATGCTCAACTTCAGACAGAGGAGAGAAAGAAGAGTCGTGAACACAGCCTGGCTTCAGCCTTCCCTCACTCAGAAACTGCACTCAGATCTGGTAGCCCTCGGCCCCCACGTGTCTCCTTCTCTCCCTCTGCTGTATCATGGTGACTTTTTCTTCTTCCAGAGGCAGGCCTGTCCCCTCTAGCTGAAGACGCAGCCCCAACTCACCTCCTGGAGGAAGTGCCCCACATGGACCTCCCGCTACTCCGTCCTCACCACAGGGCTGACGTGCAAGCACTGAGTGGCCGCTTGTAAAATACTATGTAGTCATTTTCCTGTGGGTGTGTCTTTTCTCCTCCTGCCCCGTGCCTGGCTTCCCTACTCAGCAAGGTTCTGTGTGTGCGGATCAGGCCTGGGGACAGGGGAGACAACCAAGGCGAGCAGCCCCTCCTGTCGGCCAAGGGCAAGGCTGCAAGGTCACATGGGGCCATCAAGTTGAGCTCCCATTTTCTTTTCTGTCTCCTTGTTTGCCACCGATGGCTTGACCCCACAAAGCGAATGCCTTGGGGAGGGATGGCAGTCTGGGAGGCTGGGAAGGGAAGGGCTGAGGAGTGGGACTCTGTGTGTGCCAGGGAGGGGTGGGCATGACCTACCGTCCACGGTGACTTGGCAGGAGCACTCAGCCTGGCCGGCGCGATTCTTGGCTATGCACTTGTATAAGCCTCTGTCCTCGGGCAGTGCCTTCTCGATGGAGACAGAGCACAGTGAGCCTAGGAAGGAAGAGGGAGAACGGGTGAGGGGAGCAGGTACAAGCCCAAGACCTGCCCTGGCACCTGGAACATGGCAGGGGAGGGCTAGACTCACGGGCAGCCTCTGGAAGCCCAGAAGTTGGGGGTCCTGTAGGAACGAACCCTCTCTCCCTACCAAAGTCAGGGTACTTTTTGCTGATAACCCAGGTCCAATATAACTGATCCCTAAATATATTCCATCCTGGTACCCTCTTCCTACCTCCCAGTGAGCTCTCTTAGGGAGTCATAATGGAAAGGTGCAGAAGAAGAGAGTGGAATAGTCTCTCCCTTTGGAGAGCATCCCATACAATGGAAGGAGCAGACGGACCGTGAGCCTCAGCACTGTGATGTCACCAAGAGAGATGAGGAGTAGCCAGCTCCAAGTTTACAGCCCTGGGTTAGGAACAGCGGCCCCCAGCTTATAGCAATTATTCGGGCATGCATCTTAGAAAAGGGAGTTCTGAACAAAGAGGTGGGTGAGGGAGGGCAGGAGTCCCTGTCCAGCAGGGGCACTGACCTGTGGGAAGGTCCGCTGGGAGGAGAGGGTACATTTAGCCTGGGATCCTGGGGCTGGCTTCTCAGGAATGAGCTGAGAAGGAAGGCCAACAAGGGGCACTGGGCTCGGAGAGGGGCACTTTGGGGCTGCCTTTTTTCAGGACAGGGTCTTTGGGCTGCCTCAGAGAGGGGTGGCGATGGCTGTCTTTCCCCATGGATCTCTCCACCCCCAGCACACGTCTGGCCTGCTTGGGGGAAGGAGGAGTCAGGCTGGGCATGCACAGGAATCGGGGGTCTGCTCCCTGCCCACCCAAGCTCCCTCATCCTGGGTCTGGCTACTTCTCCGGGGTATCCCCTTGGGGGATTTCCCTCGGGGTATGGGAGAGGCCAGCTGAGGGTTGGGAGTGCTGGGCCAGGCAGGCGGGCGGTGGCACCCTAGTTCCTGCCTTCAGACACATGAACAAGCCAACAGCATGGCGCCTTGCCCGAAGCTGCCCCCGTTGTCAGGGTAGCAGTCATCACACAAGGAAGAGGACAGAGTCAGGGCCATGTGCATCCTGCTGCTTGGAGCCACTGGAGCCACTGGCTTCGGTCACCGCACTCCCCCCACCTCCTACTCCCCCGGCCGGTGGCTCGGCACAAGCCCTTGGCCTTGGGTGGGCAGAGCTGTGTGCACCCCACACAGAAGGGAGGCCAACAGGCACTGATCTCAAAAAGTACCCTCACCCCCATTAGGCAGATGCACAGACTTGATCAACAGATAGAAGGATGTTCAGAGAACCTCGCTGAGGGTGGAAGGGAAAGCAGAGGCGTACTAGTTCCCTCTGCTTCTTGGCACCTGGGTGATGTCCTAAACAGGGAAACCTTCGTCCTACCAACCACCTCCCTCCCACTTACGCAGAGCCTATTTCTCAGGAAAGGCCTCACTACATTCTCCCACAGGGAGGGCATCGAGTCGGGATCTCTGCTCACTGTCCCTCGGAGACAGACTTTGCAGACATTGAACCCCCAGAAAGGACTCAGGCTGGACTTTTAGGAAATCCATCATGACAGTGAGACTGTGAGGCACAGGAATCTGGGATTGAGGGGAACTGTCCTCCCTAGAGAGAACCTTCTACTCATCTGGGAGGGCAGGAGGATGCTAAGATGACCTCTGGCCCCCGGAATTTGAGGCTTAGAGGAAACGCACCCCTCCGTGCCACTTCCCTTCAGTCTGAGGCTAAGGCTCTGTGAGCAGACACCCCACTCCCAGTGAACCTTCTGCTCGAATCCCTGATTGTCCTTCAGTTTCAGCCCCACCCCCACCCCCCCACTGCCTTCAGCCTTAAGCCCAAATGGCACCAACTGCAGAGACCGTGGTGAGCCCACCAGGAGAAGTGGGGGCATTTAGACCACAGTCCTCAGCCCCTCAGCGGGGAACGCAGCAGAACAGGCAGCTTTTGCCCCTGCCCAAAGCCGGGACCCCTGGCCACGTGCGTGGGCTGGGGGAGGGCCCCCAGGCAGGCTAGCCCAGATTGAAGAATCTGGTATTTCCTGTGGGACAGCTTATTCCTGACCTCCAGAAGAAAAACCGTTTCCCAGAGTTTTTTTTTGAGAAGCCTCAGCCTGGTGGGGAATTTTGAGAGAGAGGTGAGGGGGATGGGAGCAGTCACCACAGAATCAAAGATCCAATAAGTGGCTCGGCTAGAATTGTCCCTGGGAGAGCCCCTCAGGGCCATGGGGTCTGAAGATCCCCCATCCTGCTCTAAGTGTGTGGGAAGACGGGAGGATGGGGGGGCAGGGTGGGGGTGGGGGTGGTCCAAAGCCCTGGACGCTGTGCTGTGAGGATGCCCTCAGTGAGCAGTGTCTCCCCAACCTGGTCCTCTAGGATGTCTTGGACAGTACAACTCAGCTCCAGGTCACCTCCTCAGGGATGGTGCCTTCCCTGTCACCTATAAGCATCCCCAGCCATGGATGGACCTCCTCTGTGCCCTGAGTTTCCCTTTATCCGAGTATGTCTCCCATGGCCATTGCTGAAATACATGCCTGTCTCCTCCACTAGTTCTCAGAGGGCAGTGACTGTGTCTATTATGAATGTTTTTCCTGAGCCTGGAATGCAGTCACAGTGAAAAAAAAAAAAAATCTGCCATTCTGAGAACAACAAAGCACATTTCTGTAGCAGGTGATCTGTGAGGATCTATGCAAGAGAAAGCCATGAACATTTAGTCACATATAACCTACCATTGAAAAAGACCATATAGATTTTCTTTTTAGAGAGAGAGAGAGAATGAGAGAGCATAAGCTAGGGGGAGGAGGGCGCCTGGGTGGCTCAGATGG